GGCAGCCTCTTGTCACCGCTCGAAGGTGTGTTGCGATGAGGGAAAGTAGACCAAATGGCTCGTGAAGGGGCATGGTGTACTGCGTAGCTGGAAAGTGTGAATGGTCGAGCCAAGAGACTTCAAAAGCAGGAGAGTAACCGGAGGGGTGAAATGCCAATCCAAAACAACGTGCGGTGGAGCCGCGGGAGGAGGTAGTCCAGAACTGGCCACTTGGTAGTCTAAATGTAGCTTCTGAGAGCTGTGGCATCAGAACTGACCACTTGGTAGTGCAAATGTAGTGCGGCAAGCAGCTTCTGGGGGCTGTGGGCTCAGAAGTCTCCCACAAGAGTGTCAAAACATGTTTGGGCGTTTGTTTTGGCGCACGTGTTTGCATTCGGGTTCGTGGGTTCCATCCTAATTTTTTCGAGAGTGGCAGGCTGTGAGAGTGGCTTATCAGCATCTATATAGTGTCCAGTTGCCTTTGAGTCTGGCCTTCTTGTGATGGCAGAGCTAGAAGGTGAGAGTTTGGCAAGACAATTGGGTGTGAGAAGGGTACCTTTACTGCAAAAGCGAAAATTTTCTTTAGACTAAGGTATAGTAAAACTTTGGCATAACCACTATAGGGTCAAATCTCATATTTCTTTGAAAACTATGATGTTTTGATTGTGAACATTTGATTCTTGAATTAATTCCAGAGAGCAGGTGTTGCTGGGGGTGTGAGTTTAAGACACAATGATATAAAGTCATGTGTTTTACAATGTTTTATTGCCCTGGGAGTGCTGGGAACTAGGTCAAAACATTGCCTTTTAGGTAGACAGATAGACTTGTTCAAGTAATATTTGGAATAGGCATGTCTATATTAAGAACGCTTTGTATAAAAATTTCTATTCCAAAGGTTTTCCTCTAGATCTCTGGAATGATCCCTTCTATAACAAAATATTTTAAAACTGCTAATTCAAGAGTTTTCCTCTTCATCTCTGGATTTTCTGGATTTTTTACATTTAATAACTATATTTGAAAGCCTTTTTGTTCAACAGTTTTTTTTTAAATCTCTGGGAATATTAAGTTCCATATTTAAAACCATGTATACATGCAATTATTTTAAAGCTTACCTTTTCATTTCTGAAAATAATCATTTCTATATTTAAAACTGCCTTCTACATTGTAAGTGTTTTTTTCCAAAAACTGATCCCTAGATTTCTGGGATTGATCACGTCTATATTCAAGGCTAATATCCAAGGGTGCATTTCAAAAACTGTGCCCCAGATCTTTGGGCATGATGATTTGTTTAACGATTATATATAGAAACTGTGTATTTCACAAGAAAGGATCTCTGTGAATAAATATTTCTATGTTTCAAACACTTTCTATAAACATATATAAAATAAAACTGTTTTGCACAAACTTGCCTCCAGATCTCTGGGATTGATCACTTCTATATTGAAAAACTTTGTTTGAAAGCTTTTATTTTTATAGTTTTCCTCTGGACCTCTGGGAAAGTAGATTTTCTAGAGGTGTGTGTAATTTGATGCAATATACATGTATACATATATATTTTTGTTTATTTATTTATCTGCCACTTGAAAAATCAACCCTTTTATGGAACACATAAATACAGACCCCATGGGACAACACTATAAGAAATTTTTCCTTGTCAGAGGTTCCTCACTGGAATGCATTTCTGAATATTTATGTTTAGATATTTTTGCTCTTCATGCCCAGTATGTTCGTAGTTGCAGCATTTAGCGATTTTTATGTGTTTTTGCTGCCTGCTTCCATCTATGCGCTATAAACTTCCCACTGTGGCCTGTATTCATGCTATGTGTCTGCGAAAGCTGCCTCAATGTCCTTTCCACTGGAAAACAAACACAAACAGTCTCGAGAAAATATAGAGAAACCAATAACAACCTAGGAAAAGCCAATAAACCTTGGGAAAACCAAAAAAACAAAAAACACAAAGAACCAACAAACAAAAAAAACAATTCTCAGAGACTCTTGGCTGGACCCCCCCCTTTCCTCAAGACTTCACCAGATTTTTTTCTTTTTTTTTTGGTTCTTTTGTTTTTGTTGTTTTTTTTAATGTTTTTGGCACCCCCTAGATCCAAATATGGCATTGCCTTGCCTGCTGCCACAAAGAATATTGAGAAAATCTTGGCTGGGAACCCACCCCCTCCAGAGAGTCTGAACATATAGATTTTTTCTTGTTTTTTTCAATGTTTTTGGTACCACTCTAGATCCAAATATTGCTTTGCCTTGCCTGCTGCCACCCTGGGAGTGCAATTTCTGTAGTAAAATCTAGGCCTAAGAACAAATGAACCATAGCAAAAAACTGCACTCTCATTGCCTGCCGTTCTGTTTCCAGCCCCTCATGGCTTTGGACCAGTTTGGACTGTTATTTTGGTACTTTTCGAGGTTCTTGATTGGTTGGATTGATTTGATTCAGACATGGACCTGAGCACGTTTGTAGTTTGGTATTTTGCTACCCGGTCCAAACCTTTCAAGGATCATTGGATTTATGTTTTGGTACTCTTTGGATTGGCTTATAGTCTTAGGGTTGGACGGTTGTGGTTGGTTATAAGCAGTTGGATGTGCTTATAAGCAACAAATTTTTGCAATGGACACGCCTGTAGTTTGATGTTGATTGGGTTGTTGTAGAGGAGATCATTGCAACGAGTAACAAACTTTCATTGTTGCGGACAAATTTCGCTTAAACACAGTGCGCATGGTGATGGTCTCTGAAGACAACAACACAGCACAAAATCCCGTAAGAAAAGGAAAACACCTACTAGTGACTACAAACAATGAGTGTCACATTGGGACATGACAAGGTTTCCGTTCATGAACGCGTTTACTCTGAGACCTTTTCGTTCTGTTTAGGACACGTGTTTTGATCGAGGTTGTGGGGTTTTAAGAATTCATACCAATCAAGGCATTTGCCTTCTATTTTTTGATTTTAGACGAAATCTCCTGAACACCTGTACTGCTTGTGTGTTGAGACTTATGGTAAAGCAAGGAATAGTTTTATGATGCAAACAGCGCTCTTTTTAGCATCAACATTGTTCACCCTTCTTATACAATCTATTGCAAGGCTTGTTCTTTTTATTGCAAGGCTTGGGGAGTGTTTGAAGACCTGGACCTTTGGGGATATTCGACAGTCCTTGAGAGACTTGAGAGGCTCAGCACCTACTTGAAAGGAGCTGATCGATGTTCTTGGGACATCCGGAGTGGGTCTCCAAACCCTTGAAAGTAGATGGCATCGTTTGCAGGGGACTGGCGACGATATAAACATAAACCGTGGGTGTCTTCTTCTTTTACAAACACACTTGGCTGATCATCCCATGATAGACTCGCGTGCCCTCCATTTTTCAAGCTGCGGCTCCAACGTGCCCTGTGGTGGCTTTGATCCTTGCCGGCTGGACAAGATGACACTCGACTCGTGGAAAAGTGACTTCCAACACACGGAGGCAGTTTTTGCAAAACTGCACAGACACCCACATGATCTGCCACCCCGAAAATGATGCCCCGAAAGTGAACGAGCATGGGCAGGATTCTTTTGGAATTGCCAAGCAAAGTGGATTGAACATTGTTTTTTTGTTTTTTTAATGGTTTTCTGATGGATGGGTATTTAGTGAGACAGCGCCACGTGGAAGGCGCACCACCAGGTCGATACTTTTCACCAAGTTCATTAGTTGTTTGTTCTGGATGGGATTGCACACCAAGATTTCAGGGCTGAAAGGTTGTGTCTCTGGCAAGAAGCCTTTCAAAAGAGGTCCAGTAAGGGACACATGGATGTAAAACCCCATGGATGAACTTCCTGAAAGGGGACATTCCTCATTGAGCACACCCAACTGCCGATGGTGGAGGGCAGCTGATTTACGTATTGAAGCTTCCCATATGCAGATCCTCTACTCAGCTTCTATTCATATGGAGATCCCATATGGAGATACTTTAGAACCCAACTCGGGGGTCCCTCGCTTTTGCCTCTCGCCCTTTCACGCGCAGACCGCCTCCGTGCTTCGGGTCTTTCTGGGAGCGGCTGTGAAGCATCTGTCTCCCGGAGGGCCTTCGTTCTCCCTGTGCTTTGCGGAAGGTGTGTGGTTGAAAATGGGAAGTGATTTGAAGTGTTTGAAGTGGAGCACTGATCGAACTAAGGTCGCACCTGAATGACGCACCTGTTTGAAGGCCACACAAAAAAACACACATGGGCCTGGGGGTCTCTGCCAAGCTTTGTTCGCAAGGTTTTGCTGAATGAGGTTGTAACATCTGACCTTCAAGGATCGTAACATGCGCTACCAAAGAAAACAGAAGCAACCCAGCAGATTTCTGATTGGAGTTGAAGGAAGCCTTGTGATGAAGAGGTTTGCATTTCCTACCACTCTTTTGATGTTGCCAGAAGGATAGGAAGGATCCTGAAACCTATATAAGCGATGTGTTTTCAACTCTGTTCAGTTTCTTCCAGGGAGTTTCCATTACTCTCAACCTTTCGGACAATGCACTTAAGACCGTTTTGTCCACACCTGAACAGGTCACAAGATTTCTTGCAACACCTGGGTGCTGTCGTGGTGCGGTCGATCAGGATATCCCTTTTGTCATGTATTGTCGACCGACAAGTGTGTGACGACATTGGACCATGGCGTTTTACATCTCGCGTGGCGATGGGTAGCTTGTTGGAGGCCGGAACTGGCGGACATGCGCTCGTTCATCGCTCACTTCAAGGTCGAAGTTCTCGGACACCCTGGGCATTTGATTATATTGACGAAATGAAAACGGAAACCGCATGACACCAAAGGTCTGACCTGACTGCATAGCTTGAGCATGAACTGCCTCAACCGCAGGCGCCTTGAGCGTTTGCCCGTAGCTCAATATGACCGTCACACGGGACGGTGCTTCGTTCGACCTTACCCCGTTTTCTTGATCTCCGCTGTTTCCACAGTGGTAGCGGAGCCGGCAAAGACCGGCTCCAGCCATGGATCCCTGGAACTCCGCAGACCCGTGGAGTAGCTACCGCGGCTGCGGTGGCTATGGAGGCTGCGGAGCTGGCCGTGGCGTTCGACCTCCTATGGCTACGGGAGGTGCAAGCTCTTTCCCAGCGACTTCCGCTGGTGACGCTTCCGCCCGGACGTGGTCCGGTGTTGTGGGCGGCGCCCTTTGGTGCGGCCTATGGACTACATCCTGGAGTACCTCAACCGCAAGGTTCCGGAGGTGTGTTTGCCACGTCCTCCATGGCAGGTCAGGCCCCAGGCTTCCACCGTCGGAGCGGGACCACAGTGCAGCTCCGGCCTTGGCGGTGGTCTTGCAGGAACTTCGCCTTTGGGTCAGGGCTCAATGCCTTCGCCTCCCGGCTTTGCTTATGGCCCTTCCTCAGGAATGCCCTCAAGCTCAGTCTGGACCCTCCCAAACGGGAAGCCCGAATCCTCCAAGAGGAATGAACTCTTCCACCAACCCCGATGGGTTGAGTGGTGCTTCAGGGTATGGTCCTGGTTCGGCCAACGCATTCATGGATCGGCTCAATGCCAACTCGGCTACAGCATCAAGTCCACCTCCAGTGGCAAGCGCCTTCGAGGCATTGGGCCAGGCACCTATGACGACTTCATCGACTTCAGCGCCTACGGATCCTGCGGTGGCCGGAGATCAGGTGGTCAAGGCTTTGACAGCGGCCTTGACAGGTGAGAGAAAGAATATCTGAATATCCCTCAATGGTCAGGCCAGGTGGAAAACCTTCGCTCCTGGCTACGCTCACTGGCCTTTTGGGAACTGGACAACAACATCCCGAAGAGCAAATGGGGCTTGAAGCTGTTGATGTCCTTCCCTGAGAATTCAGCCTCCTTGGCGGCGACCATCGACATGACGGTCACCGCCTCGGAGCATGGATACGGCGCGATCTTGAGTGCCATCTTCACCAAGTACGCCCCGTTCCTGGAAGCAGCAGCTCCGGCGGCCATCGATGCCTTCTTCTTTGGTCCTGAGCGAAGCCGCTCGGAGAGCTTCTCGGCGTACATCGCCACCAAAGAGCTGGCTTTGCAAGATATGGAGGCTCAGGTTGGTGAGAAGATGCCACCACGGATCGCCGGCCGCATCCTGCTGAAGCCTCGTGGTTGAGACACCATCACCATCCCCAGCGGCAGTGCCTTCGGACAAGCGAAGCATGAGTGCAGGAGTTCGCCCAATGCAGGCACGAGCCAAGCCCAGGACACCTCGTCGCTACGAGCCTCAGGAGGTCTTCGAGATCCACTCCGACGGCGATCTGATCCTGGATGCGGACAAGGTGGATGCAGCCGAACGGGCAGTTGTCAGCCCGTGAATGCCAAGGCTACCACGACATCTACAGGCACCACGGGCACTACGAGCTCTTCGAGCACCACGACAAGCTCTTTGAAGCATGTGAGGGGCAAAGCCGCCAACGCGCTCCTCACCACCGTGCTTATCTTTTGCACCTTGCCAGATGCAGCTGCCAAGTTCTCTTGGCTTGATCCGTGGCTGGAGGCTACGGACGAATCCCTTGGCAAGGATGCCTTTTTGCACCACCACACCTTTGTTTTGGGGTCCAGCACTCAAGAGCTGGCCCGGACTGATTTTGATGGCACCCCTGCGGTTTTGACCAGAGCTCAACGACCTTTTGTCCAGAGCCACATCAAGAACTTCCTTGAGGACGTGGGTGAGGTCTACAGCCCTCCTTGAGTGACAGCCAAGGCCAAGAAGCGCGGCTTCAGTGGTTCCATCCATCGCTCTTGACTTGACCACTGGCTGGGACTTCAAGCTAGCCGGCCATCGTGAAGAAGCCCGCAACCTCGTGAAGACCAAGAGACCTGGAGTCTTGTTGCTGTCACCACCATGCACCACACGCCTCACGAACTACAAGAGACATCCATGGGAAGTGCAACAAGAAGAACAAGAAGGAGATCTTCACATGGACTATGCCGTCTCCCTGGCCGAGGACCAGCTGGACAACGGCCGGGGGTTCATTTTGGAACACCCAGCCAATGCAACTTAACTTCCTGGATATATCGAACCCGCGGCTGCAGCAATTGTTGGAACGGTCCGATGTTTTTGTCATCTACCTCGATATGTGCCGGTTCAACCTCCGAGCTGCCAAAGGCCCTGTTCCGGGTGCTCTCGCCAAGAAGCCCACCTTGCTGGCCACAAACATTGAAGAACTATGCCACTATGTGGAGCGGTCCTGTGACAAGAGCCACGCCCATGGACCCTTGATTGGTGGTGGAGCTCACCAAGCGGCAATCTACACCCCGGAGTTCGTAAAGGCACTGGTGGACAGGATCAAGGAAAATTTGGGCTATAAGACCATGAACCAGCGCTCCAAGCACGAGTCGCCCCGAAAAGTTGGACGAGCCCTTGGTGCACTGGCAAGGAGAACCTGGAGATCGAACAGGAGCTGGGAACCTTGACAGCCATGCCAATGAGGATGAGTTTGCCCTGGCTCCACAGTTGTGGCGAGAGGTCCATCGAGTACATCGCAACCTTGGCCATCCCTCCAAGGACATCTTCCTTCGTGCATTGAAGCGCGCGGGTGTCCGAGCCGACATCATTGACTGGACCAAGGCCCACTACCGATGCCCAATATGTGAAGCTCGGCAGAGGCCGACGCCTGCTAGACCAGGTCACTTGATGAGGGCCCTGGAGTTCAATACTGTTGTGGGCATGGACCTCTTCTTCATGGAGCTCTTCGGCAAGACCCACACCTTCCTCAACGCCCTCTGCTGGGGGACCAATGGCTTCACAAGAGGTGCTGGACACCTTTCTGCGCCTGTGGGCGCAGCACTACGGGGCTCCCGTGGATCGTGGACGTGAATTCTTCAGCCAGAAGTTCGTGGAAGCGGTAGCTTCGTTGGGCGTGGGCATACACTTTACTGACCCAGGCTCTCCGTGGCACAACTCCCGCGCGGAAAAAGCAGGAGGCCTGGTCAAGGAGAAACTGGCTGCCACGCTCTTGGAAACTTCAGCCTCGCCAGCCGAGCTCAAGACCGCCCTGGCAGAAGTCGTTGCCGCCAGGAACCGGTTCATGGACCGCTTTGGCTTTTCGCCTATGCAGCGGGTCTTCGGCAAGAACCTGAGGCTCCCTGCATCCCTGCTCTCCACGGATGCACTGGATCGAGAGTTAGTTGAATTGAGTGCAAATGAGCAAATCCAGAGGATCTGGAGCATTAGAGATGCTGCCATGACGCAGTGGTTGCGACGGCAGGATCGCAGTGCCATCCGTCGCAGTGTGCACTCCCGGACCGGACAAGAACCTCCGACGTGAAGAAGATCCATTCTGGAACCTGGATCTACGTCTACCGCGACTCTCCCTGCGGTTGGACTGGGCCGGGAGTCTACCTGGCAGATGATGTGACCAACCGCTCAGCATGGGTCTCCATGAGAGGCCGTTTGTGGAAAGCTTCGCTTGAGCAGATCAGGCGAGCGACGCCGGAGGAAGAGTTGGGAGCTGAGCTGGTGGTTGAGCTATCCAAGGAGCTCATGGACAAACTGCAGCAACCTGGCCAAGTTGTCTACCAGGACGTGACTGCAGAAGGACACCCCGAAGATGGTGAGTTCCCAGAAGATGCTGTTCGCCGAGTCCTCCGAATCACTGAGGACACCGGCCAAGGAGATCGACTTGAACCACCACCTCCAAGCTCCGCAGAGAGCGCTCAGCTGCGATTGGAAGAAGACACGCTTCCGGACACCGGCGCAGTCCCTGGCACTGACCACAGCAGGCGAGCAAGCATGGAAATCGAGACTGAAGAGCCCTTCGTTCCGGAGCCCATGGAGACCATCTCCGAGGATCAGTTGGCCGCTACACCCATGGTACCTCCCCCAGTTGCTGAAGGCCCTCGAGTTGTTCGAGTTGACGAAGGCACTTCAGGCTCAATGACTTTTGGCCCTGCTCGCTCTACTTCAAGTTCGAGTGCAAGGCGCTCCACACTGCCCTACCATGTGCCAGAGACACCTCCTGTTGGCTGGACTCCACCCCGTGCTCCATATCCATTTGATCAAGGTGCACCTTCCCTACCGAGGCCACCTGGGGAGTCTTCCTATGTGGAAGTCATCGACTTCGACCGCAACCCACACCTCAGGCAATGTGAATGCTGGCTTCATTGGTGCAACCTGGAAATACAGTCGTGAGCAAGGTGAACGACTGCCTCAAAGGGGACCTTCACAGCCGACCACGCCGAGGCAAGCTTCTGTGAACGTGATCAATGCCTCTATGTGACCAAGGCCAAAACCTCTTTCGGCCAGGTCGAGTTCGGCAAGCTTGCCGAGGAGGAGAAGAAGCTCTTTCGTGAAGCCCGAAAGAAGGAGCTGGACAGCTTGGTGACCAACGGGGCCGTGAAGGTGATGTCCGTTGAAGAAAGCCGTGCCTTCCTCAAGGAGTTCCCCGACCAGGTGATCGACTCTCGCTTTGTCGACCGCTACAAGCCAAAGGAGCTGGATCCGAACACCATCTCCGAGTTCAAAAGACGAGCCATGCAAGAAGGCCACATGGAAGCAGTGCCGCTTCAAGTGGACCAGCGCAACCCCAAGAGCCGCTGGTGTGTTGTCGGATGGCAAGACCCTGACGTGCTGGAGGTTGAACGGTCGAGCCCGGCCCCTTTGAGTACATCCATCTACACTTGCCTCCAGCTGGCTGCCTCAAGACAGTGGAAGACGCACATCAAGGACGTCAAGACAGCCTTTCTTCAAGGACGTCCGACCACGAGGACTCGCCGTCTTGCTTGCCGCCAACCCCGAGATGAAGCTCTACCTGGACTGCACCCTGACCAGTTGTTGCTCTTGGAGACAGAGGTCTACGGCCTGGTCTCCGGCCCTTCGTGGTGGCGATGCAGCCTGTTGGGCATTGCGGAGAAGTTGGGCTACAAGGTCTGCCCCTACGACCGCTGTGTACTCACCCTGCCAGGTGAGAAGGCTGATGAGATGACCCCCACTGATGGTTTTATGGTCATCGATGTCGACGACATTGCCGAAGCCGGCAACGACCGCCACCGGGCCAAGATGGAAGAGCTGCGCAAGCTTCTCAAGTTCGGCAAGATTGAGGCCCTCTTCGATTCCAATGGCTCCTCCTATGCTGGTCGTCAGATCAAGCAGAACAAGGACTACAGCTTCGAGATGAACATGGAGGAGTTCATTTACACCCGGCTTGAGCCGATCAAGCTCAACAGACGAGTCCTGAAGAAGGATGCCGCCTCCATGCTCCTGAACGAGGCGGAGAAGACGCAGCTGAGGGGGCTCATTGCAAGCCTCAACTGGATTGCCCGTGAAGCTCGACCGGATGCCAGCGCTGCAGCGTCGCTGCTCGCATCGGCGTTCCCATCGCCGTCGATGAGCCACATCCTGTCGGCGAACGACATTGTGGCTCACTTGAAGACCTTCCCGGTCACCTTGAAGGTGCACGCCATCAAGGAGAGCAAGCTGCGCAACATCCTCATCAGTGACTCGGCATTTGACACGTCGGGAAAAGATCTCGAGAGATCGCAACATGGCTGGCTGCTCGGCTACACGGACGACACCATGAACCGTGGAGCCCTGGCCCCAGTGTCGCTGATGCAGTGGCGCTCGAAGAGATTGCGCCGGAAAGCCTCAAGCTCGCTCCTATGTGAGGCAATCTCCATGTCAGCGGCCACGGCAGCTTTGGAGCGACAGGACGCCATGATGGAGGCGATCTCGAAGTCGCACTTCAACCCTCGGCGCCGGCAGCGCAACGAGGACGACCTCCTGGAGCCGGCTGGCAAAGCGACGGTGATCGCAAGCCAGTCGGGTCAAGACATGGACCCGAAGAGCCTGGTCCTGATGCACGCCAAGAGCCTGTACGACTCGCTCAATGCCGAGCAGGCTCATGGCGACGATGAGCGAAGTGCTTTGGAGGTGGCCATCATCAAGGAGTGCCTGGCTGTGACCTCTGGAAGGCCTCGATGGCTGCCTCACAACCACAACCCGGCCGACGCGCTGACCAAGATCGCATCTCACTCGGAGCCTCTTTTGAAGCTGCTCCAGACCAACCACTTCTCCATAGAGGAGGAAGCTGATGTGTTGGAGCGCGGTCGACAACATGAAGACCGACGCAAAAGTTCGCTCGCAAATGCGGCCAGGTCAGCAAGAATTAGGGGGGCTGACGAAATGAAAACGGAAACCGCGTGACACCAAAGGTCTGACCTGACTGCATAGCTTGAGCATGAACTGCCTCAACCGCAGGCGCCTTGAGCATTTGCCCGCTCGCTCAAAATGACCGTCGCACGGGACGGTGCTTCGTTCGACCTTACCCCGTTTTATTGATCTCCGCTGTTTCGACAATATATAGTTACAGCCTAGCACATAGAATAATCGAACATTTAGAACAAGCAGTTAGAATACATGTGCGGGGTGAGGGAAAACCATACAGTTATACAGAATAAACAAAATATAGAATATATTGAATATATCGAAATATTATAAGTGAAGGGTTCTGGTGCTTTCAAAAAGCAGAGCTTGCAGTTAGAGTATTTCAGCCAAGGTTGATTCGAATGACTTTGCCAATATACTACTGTATAAATATAGAGATCTATTTCCAAACCTTTTGGTTTTCCATTCTGAAAGAAATTGTGTCCTTTACAGTTTCTTTTCTTCTCTTAGGCCTTTTGACTTTCCAAAATCCTTCGCTTTTCTATTTGCCCCTAGTATATACCAAGCCTTGTGTGAGCACGTCAAAGCTTGCAATTAGAATATTCAACCAAGGGGTGCACCATATGTGTGTATATATATACATCCTTTCAAACCTTTGGGTTTCCACCAATGTAAATATTCTGTGTCACACATTATTCTTGGTTTTGTTGGAAGTTCTTTGACTTGACAGCAATGTCTTCGTTTGTCTCTTTGAGAAGCATTTTGTGATCATGTCAGGGCTTGCTGTTTTTTAAATATTGCAACCAAGGGTGGTTCCAATGACTTCACCAATGTACATAAATGTGAATATTGATAAATAAACACATAAACAAATATACATATATATATATATACATGTCCAAACCTCTTGGTGTTCCATTCGGAACGAAGTTGTTTCTTCATTACAGTTTCTTTACTTCCAACAATTATATATTTGTTTTTCTATTTACTGCTAGTATATGCAGCCTTGTGTGATCACGTCAAAGCTTGCAGTTAGAATATTTCAACCAAGGGGTAAATCAATCCATGAAAGGATTGCATCGACCGTCGATTTTCTCACGATTTCTTACCCACCAAACATTTGATACATATTCCTGAGTTTCAATTGAATTTTATTCATATTCCATCCAAACCCTGAGGCTTTGCATTCAGGTTTGTGACACGTTGTTTGTTTTTCTAATTGATTTCTTTGTTTTGTAAGGCCTAAATGTCAATATTCTATGTCTATATTTTTTGAATATTAAAAACTGCAAAAAATTGAAAAACATGTATATGTTCCAGAGCGTGCTCTCGAAAACGACTTGTTTCAAGTTTTATTTTTGAAATATATAATATTCCACCTGCAGATTGATGATTGATTCCGCAGATTCAATTCAAGATTTGGGGTGAGCCTTTGCAGCTTCTTTGAAGCTTGCCCAAGCCTGGGATAGAGCATCTTAAGGGTTCAACTGTGAGCATTCCACGTGATCGCAATTACCTCGAGAGAGATTCCTGGTCCTAACCATCAGTGTGTGCCTTCCTCTTCTGGAAGCTCTCTTTGCAATGCACTTGTTTCTAATAGCAAACATTGTTACTACTAGTAAGGCACTTGTTACTAGAAGCGATGCACTTGTTCGTAGTAGCGATGCCCTTGTTGCTAGAAGCTCTCTTTGCGCACCATCTTCCGGGAAGAAGAAGGTCGACACAAACTCGGCCAATTCTGTTGTTCGACACGAGCGGCTCGCGATGTCCGTCCGTTCCCGATCTCCATAATACGCTTATTGTGCTTTGAGTCCACGATCTCTCTTCCTCTATGTTTGAAGCCTCGCTGTCCGGCAGGTGCTTTTCCGATTGTGTTTCCAATGCAAAGCCTTTACGGAAACGCCGCCGACGTAGGCAGCAGGTACCTTGCACGTTCCAATTTGGAACCTGAAGCGAGCAGTCCGGAGACCACTTAGACAGAGCGTTTTTTTGGGGGGCTCGGCCACGTAGGGCCACGATGTGCTGTGGGAATTTCACCGAGGTCTTTCTCCGGTTGAGACAGGGGTTGTCTCTTCGATCACGCGCCCACTCGATATACCGAAGAGCCAATTTCTGCGGGGCGCTTCACTTGGCGAGGCACAGGACTGTTCCAAATAGATGGGAGATAGACTTGCTCGGTTCGGTGCCCACAAAAACATTGTCCCATGAAAAAGACTTCAGTGCTTCACACAGGTGGTTTAAACATAATGTGATGTGCAGCACAAATACAGGTAGTTTGCAACGGTTCTGTCCACTCTGTTAAATCACTATGACACAGTCCACAGTCACGTGGGAAGTTGCTAAGCCTAAGCTTGAAAGTTCACAAGCAAGTTGCTGTCTTCGAAAGCTTGTCGTTCAAAGTGCTCCGGCCCGGAGGGTCAAATCCGAATGACACTCCTTTTCGGATCGACTTTCATATTTTATTGCCAGCTTTGTGAAGAAAGAGGGGCCTATCACAATGACACAGATGTTCAAGTCAACAGAGTCACTCGAGTTTTGGTCTTCGACTATTCCCTGCTTGTAAAGAAGGGATGCTCGAGGTTCCAGCGCTGCATTTCATTGGGCACTGGCCACCCCTGCTCATTGTTGTGCCACAACCGTGCCAAGACCAGTGCTGGATTGCGGAGTCAAAGCATGAGCACAACCGACGTGACCGGTCAAGGGACCGAATCAAACAGGGGCCCCGATGTCAAGACAGGAACCCTACCACTCCTGGTGTCGAGCAGAAAAGAACATCTAGGAACACCGGGGGCACCCTGCATAGTAATTGAGGCCCGACTGAGCACTCTCCAAGAAGATTTTGTGACTAATCACTAATCCATGAAGAATCCCATTGCAATCTCTCTGTTTGGTTACAGCATTGGAGAGTGACTGCTTCAGAGGCAAGCTTGAACTGATTTGTTTTGGGCACAGCATGCTCCGGCTGGCATGTCTGGCTTGAACATGGACACTCTTGCGTTGGATGGGCACTCCTTCGCCTTCTCGATACTGATGACCTGTTATCGATGTTCAACCTCGCTAGGAGCTTGGTGGTAAGTAAGACAGGGAGTGCCCGTCCAGCGCCCAGTTCTTTTCAAGTTTCACAGTAATGGCGTGGGGTTTGACCACGGAGGGTGCACTAGTGTTGGGCTGTTCATCAGGCAATCACCCGCCCCCCCAAAATATCACGCGGTGGCCTCCACCCTACTAGCGATGGCCTCCAACCTAATAGCGGTGGCCTCTACTACAAGAACATACAAGAACCGAACCACGTGTCTCAACGATTGAGGGCAGAGGAGGCGAGACCCTGCCGCTTTCCGGTCAGCCAAGATGCGTTCAATTCGCGAGGCTGTCGGATGCCTCGACAGTTTTGGCGATCGAAGAAGGGTCTCCCGAGGTAGGTACTCGGATGAAAGATCAGCCACAGAGCTGGAAACTGGAAGGCAAAGAAGCCATTGGGCCTCAGGGCTTCACTCAATTATTTTGAATAGATGCCGAAATGCATGGAACGGACCTCCAGCGTCCGCGAACAAAACATGTGCGGGGTCGGCGAGGTGGAGCAGTGGAGCAGCTGGGATGTTGGGGAGACAGTCATGTTGGCATGTTTCTCGATGCGTGCTTAGATTGAATTGGTCGGGATCTCCATGATGTCCCTCTTCGAGCGAGAAACCTATGTGCCGAGAGGGTCAGAAGTGCACACAGCAGGCCGCGCAGGACCATCTTCCAATAGGTTTTTCGTCCTGTGGGTTTGTTGTCTCACTGCAGGTCACCTATTTCGCGCGGACCAGTCCAGGAACTGGTGTCTTTTCCACACCTTGAAGCACCCTTTCTGAGACTCCGTTTCTTCCTGTGCGCCGGTGTCTTGCGAAAGTTCAAGTCTGTCACTTCGCAGGTAGCATATCCACGAAAATCTCCTGGCGACCCCGGCACAGGGGCGTTGGAAGATAAGGACCGAGATTTCGATCCATCTAGATGAGAGCTTAGTAGATCAGATGGGAGGATTCACCAGCTTTGTAGTTCAAGATGCAATATAAAGGCCATTACTGACACGCATACAGACATGCGGACATTAGGGTGCCACTGCAGTACTGTCGACAGCCGTTTTCCTCGCCTATACAAGACATGCCGTCCGCTTTGTAACAGGGTCACATCACCTAAGATTGGCGACTTGCCAGACTGAACGCTTTCCACGAGTGGTTTGAGAAAAACAAGTGGGGCGTGGGGCGTGGACCAGTAGATCGGACTCGCATTCGTGCCAGGACCCCTGGCAGTGCGGTCAGGACCCTTGGCAGCAAGGTCCAGACCCCTGGCAGCAGGGTGGAGACCCCTGGCAGAGAAGCCCAGATCCGTGGCAAGCGCAGGCAGGGAGGGGGGGTTCTTTTCGGGCGACCCTCGGACCACTAGCTCGCCTTGGCTCGCCTGGTTTCTCGACTGCGAAGCACCGACGGTTCCTTCCCTCATGCAATGTTGGACCAGTCCGCCTAATGTTGCCCACAGGGACTTGAACCCGGGTCCGACACTGCAGGGGGACGACCCCATAGCCACCAGGCATCCATCCATCCATCCATCCATCCATCCACTGTTATTCTTCACCGGCTATGGGATTCTTACCTCAAGTATCTTTAAATATATGATGGGTTGGCTGTGCAACATAGGGTGCTGGTCAGGTGTCAGCGCAGGTGCTGTTGGTGAGGGGCTGTTATTAGTGTTTTTGGAATCGTGTTGTGTTGGTGCTCTTTAGACAAGGTGTCGGTGCACGTGCTTTGTGGAAGCCTTTTGGGAGGCTAATCTCGGATCAAAGCACTGTTTGAGGGAATACTTTTTCTGTGTGGTGAACAGTAGAGGCTCTTGTTTGCCTCTTCTATACTTTGTCTTTTGCTTCGCCTCTTTCTCCTCAGTTTTCCTCAAACCTGCAAGGCATACATCCTCAATTCAAAGGCAAAGGACGCATTTGCTCAGGGGAGCATCAATTTCCAAGCCACTCGTCTTTTTTCCGATGTTGAGACCTGGCACAAATAACTTTGCTTCGACTGATCCCCAACATGACTTTTCAATTCTATATTTGTTTTCATGCCATTGTGAGGAGCATGTTGCCATGGTCGTGAGTTTTGTGGGTTTCGATTCTACTTGTGGGTCCTCAGTTGTTGCTGTTGCTGTTGCTGTTGCTGTTGCTGTTGCTGTTGCTGCTGCTGCTGCTGCTGCTGGTGGTGGTGGTGGTGGTGGTGGTGTTGGTGTTGTTGTTGTTGTTGTTGGTGGTGGTGGTGGCGGTGGTGGTGGTGGTGGTGGTAGAAACAACAACAGCCGCGCAACATAATTGTCACGTGTTGCATGTTTGGAACTTCAAGGGACACGGTTTGGGATACGGTTGAAGGTTTGAGCGAATGTTGGCTTCGTAAGTAGGTGGACCTCTTGGACTTGTTTCACTGAAGTCTGGCTGGTTCATATTTGGTGTTTTTGAGGTTGTTGTTCTGGAGGGGGGCTCCAAAAAACAACAACGGGGCTGCAGTCTTTGTTTGTAGGGCGTAGAGACAACAGCACCTTTTGAGGAGGGGGGGTCAAATAACAACGCTAGGATGTGGTACAGGTTGTAAAGGTTTAGCTGACCGGCTACTACTACTACTACTACTACTACTTCTACGACGACGACGACGACGACTACTACTACTACTACTACTGCCACTACTACTACTGCTACTACTACTACTACTACCACGACTACCACCACTACCACCACTACCACCATTACCACTACTACCACTACTACCACTACTACCACTACCACTACTACCACTACTACCACTACTACTACTACTACTACTACTTCTACTACTACTACTACTACGACTACGACTACCACTACCACTACCACTACCACTACCACCACCACCACCACCACCACGGCTACTACTACTTCTACTACTACTACTGCTACTACTACTACTACTACTACTACTGCGTACTACTACGTACTACTACTACTACTACGACTACTACCACTACTACCACTACTACCACTACTGCTACTACTACTACTACTGCTACTGCTACTGCTACTGCTACTACTACTACTACTACTCCTACTACTAGTACCTGCTACCTGCTACCTGCTACCTGCTACCTGCTACCTGCTACCTGCTACCTGCTACCTGCTACCTGCTACCT